GTTCAGCCACTACATACCTCCTTGCTAAAGGGTGATTTCATTCCTCTTTGTGAAAAGGCCAGAAAGAAAGCATTCACTGGTTCAACTATTCGTTCTGCTTGGGCAGCCTGTGGCATCTATCCTCTCAACAAAATCCGAGTTCTTACCGACCCCAAAGTCACAGCAAGCCTCCAAAACACTCAAAAAGGATTACTTGCTACTCCATACAACCTTCGTACCTTACCCCAGCGCCCTCCTTTGAGTCAGGCACAAAAGATTCGCTCTACCCTTCCCTCAAATCTTGAGGATGCAATTACTCAAATAAAAGACCTACAAAATACTCTCATAAAAGCAGAGTCAGATGTGACAATCTCAAGAGAAGAGCTTCGACAGTATATGGCACGTGATAAGCCTGCTCAAAAGAGTAGAAAGATCCTTTGTCGTGCACGGTACATCTCACAGGAAGATTTGATGGAGGCAAGACGTGGTGTAGTAGATCCACTCGATAAGAACAACAAAATAACATCAACCAAGAAGGTTGCTGGAAAAAGAAAGGTACAGCAAGTGGCAGAAGCCTCCAGTGGAATTGAGTCTGATCAGGATTTGCTCATGGTGGTATCAGATTCTGACTCTGACCATGACTCTGAAAATCTTGAATCTGAGACTGATGGAAGCAACTATTCTCCTGCATGCTCTGATGTTTTGGGCTACCCCTCTGAGTCTCAAATTTCTCCTACCGCCTCTCATGCTAGTCAATCCTCTGTACCTTCAAGACCAGCACCAGAAACTATACGCCTATTGAGAAGACCCAGTCATAATCAACCTTACTCAAAATAAGGTCATGTATATTTTCAAGCTGTTTTCTTACTTCAAAATAGCTTAAATTTGATCTGCTCTTTTCAAGTGTATCTACAAGTGGCCAATGATCCTGCCTATTGAATTTAAACCTGGCATCTTTTAAACTATACAAGTTGTGGTGATTTTTGCAAGTGTAATTGAAATTCCATATAAAATATTATTTTGGGTAATAACTACGCCATGGGTAATAGGACCCCCGCCCATGTTATACACACTCTCTTACATACACTCTCTTACACATACACTTTCTTATATATACATACTTTCTTACATATATTCTCTCATACATACACTTTCTCTTACTATCTTATCTGCTTCTTTATACTTGGATCACTACTATCTTGGAGTAAAGTGAGAAGTATATATCAGCTACAAACAACAAATAATAAATTGAGTCTTTCTTACTAGTATATCTTTTCTTGGACAACTATATATGTTCTTACTTATATGTTTCCCCTTCAACATGTTTTAACCCATAGGCTAACAAAAGAACAGAATAAATAGGATACTGCAGAGAACTGTGGGAACTCTAGAAAACTGCTAGGAACTACTAAGAACTACAGGGAATGGTGGAGAACTACTGAGAAGTGTGAGGGACTGCTGGAAACTGTAGAGGACTGCCAGGAACTATAGGAGAGTATAGGAGACTGTAAGAGACTGGTGGAGACTGTTATGAACAATAGAGGTCTGGAAGGGGAGAGGTATAGGAGGAGTTGGTAGGGGACTACAGAAGCTATATGAGAGTTTAAAGAGGACTGGAAGAGACTGAAAGGGTTTGTAGAGAGCTTGCAGGAGTCTTTCATGACTCATTGTACTTAATACTTAGTAAAAAGGTAATTTGTATTGATTACAGCCTGAGACCTTACTTGCA